CCTTCCTTTTCTTTTTCAATGATAATATTTTTTACTTAGTCTTTGACAATTTCATACATTTATGCAATTTTTAATAATTTTATTGATTCAAAAATTCTATGCAAATGTGTTTTGATCATATTCAGACGCCCTCCCCATCTCCATCCCACCTTGCTATCCCCTGCCCACTAATAGGAGTATTTAAGGTAATGGAAATCCATACTGTGAATTTCCTCAAACTAAGGGCCCACCTCCAAGTCAAACTTCTCTTCTGGGAAAAGTTGTGTTCTCCACACTTAGACTACTTTCCCAGACTATTAATAACATTTGTGGAACTTTGCCCAGTATAACACATATTTAGTGATACATCATGGAAATTCAATAATGCCTTCTTGAGCTTCTTTAAGTAAAGATATATTAAACACCAGCTACTCTTCTCAGCTTTTCATTGTCAGTGTGGTTTTAAAGCAGATTCTTAGGCATGCTTAGTGTGTGCCTTCAGTCCCAGTGTCTCCTGGAGCTGAGGCTGGAGGATCACTTGAGCCAAAAGTTACAGATCAGCCTCGAAAGACAGAAAGAAAGAAAGAAAGAAACAAAAAAGCCCCAAACAAAACCCTTTACTGCATGCCCGTTACTTCAGGGAAATTGTCTTCAGGCTCAAGAGACCTAATGAATGGTTATAACCATGAAGTTTGTAGAAATTTTTTTTTTAGTCTTTTCGAGACAAGGTCTCCCTGTAGCCCCAGCTGTCCTGGAACTCACTATGTAGACCAGGCTGGTCTTGAACTCACAGAGATCTGCCTGCCTCTGCCTCCTGAGCGCTGGGATTAAAGGCGTGCACCACCATGCCTGGCCAAACAGAAAATCATTTAACACTAAACATTAGTTACACATAATAGTGTGATGTTCCCTTATAAAGTCTTGTGCTGGAAGTTCCTGAAAAATTCTTTCTTGAAACACTGGTATGTTCTCTAATACACATTCTTATTGGATGTCTTGTTTTGGCTTCAAGTTTTTGAACCTGGCAGCTAAGACTACCTCCTTGTCCTGTCAAGCCTTATCTCTACCTTCCCTCTCAAGAACAATGCTGATCGAACAGTTCCTTCATTTTGGAATACCTTCTCCCCTATTCTCAAAGCTCTTTTTTTTCACCTAACAAAACTACTCTCTCTTCAGAGAGAACTCCAACCCATTCTCTATGAAACCTTTAAGGATAGCTGGATGGATCTAAGAGATAGCATGGTGTAGGGGGAAAGAAATCTGGTCTCCAGGCCTGAGGTGGAGCTTATCTATGCTACTTTTGTGACTTGGAAAGTAATTTTCTTGAGCTTCATTTTATTTCTCTATAAAAAACAATGTGCCTAACTGACATGAAAAGTACCTGACACATAAAGATACTCTATAACTAATAATGCCATGCAAAGAGACTTCTTACAGGTTTAATGATGTAGCTCAGAGGTAGAGCATCTGCTTAACATGTATGAGACCCTTGAATCAATCCTCTGCACTGCAGTAAAAAACAATAAATAAATACTATATGTGAATATTACTTGTAATATGGTGTGTTTTGGTTATTTGTTTAATCTTCCTACCAGACAATGAACTTACCTTAAATTCAGACAGCATACGTCATAGTTTTAACAAGAACGTCCCTCTTAGCCTCCCAGCATTTGGACATTTCAGCCCCAGTTTGTAGTGCAGTTTGGTGAGGGTTATGCAACCTTTAGGAGGTGTGGCCATGCTGGAGGAAGCACGTCACTGGGGGCAGGATTTGAGAAGTCTTAAGCCTTGTGGGATTTCCAGTTTCTCTCTCTCTCCCCTTTCTGTGTCTGCTTGAAGATGTGATCCCTTGACTTTCTGCTCCCGTCACCATGCCTTCCCACCATTATGGACTCTAGCCCTCTGGAAACATAAACTCAAATAAACTCTTCCTTCTATAAGGTGTTTTGGTCAATGTTTTTGACAACAAGAAAGTAACTAAGACAGTACAGAATGGTGATTAAGAGCTTGGTCCCTGGAAACAGGCCACCTGCATTCATACCCTATGTTCTCTGTTACCAGCTGTTCACCTGGAAAGATTACTTAAATTCTCTGTGCTTCAGTTATACTGTAAGACTATTATCTCATAAAATTGTTAGGGTTAAATGAGTTAGCTTTTTTTTTTTTTTAACGAGTCTTGCCATATTGCCCAAGCTGGTCTAAAAGTCATAGTGGTCCTCCACTACTGCACCTCTTGAATAGTTGGGACTACAGGTGTGTGTCACCACACCTGGCCTAAATAGGTGAATATGTAAAACACAGAGCACTGTTCAGTTTATGGTAAGCATATTACTCCCATAAGCATTTACTAAACATGATAGCATTAATTTCTACATTCAATGATGTTTGTTTGCTTTTTTTGTACCCAATTAAATATACTGATCTATATCTGAAATATGCCATCATGTATTCAAGCTCAAAGAAAATATGTAAGAAACTTACATAGTTCTGGTGAAGACAAAAGTAAAAGAATCATAGAAAAGAAAATCAACTATGCAACAAATAAAGGGAGAAGAAATTGTTTAGTTTTTAATTTTATGTGTATAAATGTTTTGCCAATGTGCATGTAAGTGCATCCATATTGTACAGAGCCTATGGAGGTCAGAAGAGATCCCCTGAAACTGGAGTTAAGGATGGTTCTTAGCCACCATGTGGGTGCTGGAAATCAAACCCAGGTCCTCTGCAGCCAGTGCTCTTAACTACTGAGCTATCTCTCCAGCTCCAGAAGAAATTATTTTTTAAATTTGTTTTTATTGAATTTTTGTGTATTTCGTACAGAATATCTCAAACAATCTTAATCATCTTTATACCTCAGTCTCCACAGGTACCCTCCCATAGCCCTGCCCCCCTGGAACCCAGATACCCTGTCATTCGTGTTAAGGCCCAATGTGTCAAGTCAGTGTCCTCAGACGTTCCCCAGTGCAAGTCCAACCACTGAGGTCTAGTCAGCCTATCTGGAGTCCCTTGTTTTAGGAAGATCAACTCTTCTTCACCTAGCAGTAATCAGTTGCTAATATTTCTTCAGCTAAGAATGGGGTCTTCTGTTCATTTCCCCAGTTCTATGCTGGGTTTTTTTCTGCCTGCGTTTACATGGGATTTGTGTATGCTGACACCATTGCCATAGAATCGTATGAGCAGGGTCCCAGGAGCTTGTAGGACTTTGTTCCATATGGTCTTTCCCCTCCTCCCTGGCTCTTACAATCTTTCCATTCCCTCACAAGAAATTATTTTAACAAAACTTGTTTGCATGTAGGTCTCTTGGCTATTATTGCTTCTTTTGGAAAAATACTCATTTTCCACTGGCACAGGGAGGATAAATATCTTCTTATTTTTCTGGATAAAGAGGAGGAAATAGAATGCCATTTTGTATGTTGTTGCAGTATACTTCAGAATTATGCTTATACCTAAGTAACATGCAGGGGGGTGGCATGTCTTGCATAGCATGTCTTGTAGCTTACTGTTCCAACTTGCTGGCCCTAAACACTTCATATTCTGCCATTTCAAATTTGCTATGCATTAAAATTTAGGCTAAATGCTCATCAAAGTATCCCTGTGCTCTGAGCCCTGATGCATGCACCATTTGGTACAATGTCCCAGACTCCCTCAAAAAGAGAACAGTTCTGTTCTCCCTTCAACTGCTGGGATTTGGCCCTCATCCTTAAATGTCCAGGCTTCTCTCTTCAATTTTAACTCCAGGTTCCACCCTTATTGACCGAATTTTCTTTGTCATAAGAGTATTACGTTGGACACACATCATTTTATGTCCTATACTGATAGTTGGCTTTTGCATAAGAAGGTGGTATGTGAGCAGAAATTTTTGGATGTCACTAGTAAGACAATGCACATGGAGGTCAGAGAACAACCATGTGGTGTCTGTTCACTCCTTCTACCTTTATGGGGACTACAGGGATCAAACTCATGTCCCCAGGCTTACATAAGAGGTACTTTTACACATTGTGCCATCATGCTGGCCCCAAGAGTACAGCAATAGTTTTAAAATCAACAAAATTTTAATGACTTCTAAG